TCGTTGATAATTCCTTTTCTTTCTCTTTTGTTGATTTTTCGGAATTCATCATCATCAAACACATTTTATCAAAATAATGTAAAAATCTATTTTATGCGTCTGACAGTTAAAACACGAAAATGATCGCTTATTCACACGTTATACAAGGTCCACGGGCTGAATAAGTCTTGTCTAACATTTCATACAATTTTCACAACGGTTATAACAGCTGTATACGCGAGAAATGTCAAAAGTTGATTATTAGTAATGAGTGTGATATACCTCTGTTATAAGATGTGTGTAAATTTTTATTAGTAAGGGGGTAAGATTTTATGACGTGGATTCGAAATAAAATTAAGTCTTAGTTCCTCATCAACAAAACAACAAATAGATTAACATTCGACATTCGCATTTCTATTGCTACCAATCAATAAACTCATGCTTCCATAAGCCTAGCAACATTTTCCACGCTTCAGGTGATATTATAGTTTCCGAAACATAATGTCTATGGGGAAAATACCATTTATAACTGTTGTATCAATAAGCCGTACGAACAAAGCCCAGTAAAGCACGCATCATCTACGCCAGCCGGCACTATAAGTACCGTGGTACCGACAATACGTCCGCCTCACTAAATGTACCGACACACAATAAACCAAATGCCTCAATACACAACCAACTTACATTGAAAGTCAACCTTTTGTAAAATGATTCATTGTGTGACGAGTATTTGTAAATACTTTGTTCTATTTATGCTATACACTGGGTGATATTTTTTATGAGATATGTCGGCAAACGAGCAGACGTATTACCTGATGGTAAGCAATCAACGCCGCCCATGGACACCCGCAACAACAGAGGAGTAACAAGTGCGTTGTCGACCTTTTGGGGATTAGGGATTTGGAGATTAAGTGATTGAAGAGGAATTTGGGGAGGGGAAGGATTGGGCCTCAGTTAACCTCACTCACACGACGAAACACAATGCAAGTGTTGCTTCACGCCGGTTTTCTGTAAGGCCGTGGTATTACTCCGATCTTGCCTGCCCATTCTAAAAATTACTTTAAAAATATGTGGCAGATTGCTACTTTTTGCTCTAGTTGACAGAAATGTCTAGAGATATAAAGAATAACCTCCATCACCTGCAATATCGTTTAAGTGAGAACTTAACTTTATAACTCCATTCCAAATGGAAAATGCTAACTAAGCTAGGTACTAAAAATGCCTGAAGAAAAACTATCTCAACATCATTCGAAAAACTACTTAAACTCATTGTAAGTGTCAGAAAAAGTTGGTAATTTTATAGCGAGCAGTTAATACTTGGCTTAAAGTATTTTAAACAAGTTCTCTTCAAGTTAGTACCACTTGGGTAAGATGAACGGTGTCCATTAGTGGGTTATATATCAGCAGAAATAAAGATATCTTATGTGGATTTCTTCATTTACTTTGCTTTTTTAGTAAGAGGATTAAAAGTGAACAGATCAAGTCGAAAGAGTCATCACCATACACTGGGCACACACCCAAAAATGTCGACTATTTTGAAACTTTAAAAAGAAGAAAATATCTTTTACGTTTGGCAACGTATCGCTTGTTTCGCTGGCAAAAACTGCTAATGGAATTTTGTAATTAAAAAACTTCTATTAGTAGCCTGGAGCGAACATTAAACGGAGTTTGTTTCTCATGTCAGGAAGAGCTTGTTAGATTATTGGTCTCGATTATGCATGATACCTGTTACAAGGCCCTAAAACATTAGTAACAAAGTGTAACCAAAATTTAGTAAGGTACTTTTAACGTAGTTTCATTTGATATTGAGTGCCGGCAGTAAACACCATTAGGACTGTCAAAAGGATCAAGAACACGGAAGAATTGGACAGGACAACGCAGTGCAAAACTAGAATTTCTGTCTGCAGCTTCCAGCAAACAGATAAAACTATTTAGCGAGACATTTATTTGCAATAATGAGCCATTCCTGTGTTCACTGCAAAGATAATGAAACTACTCGGAACTCCTTCAACTCAGTAAATAACAACAACACATCTTTGAAGAAAAATCAGCTGAACTCACAGGGGAGTTAGTTGCACATGACCTCAAATAAAATAAATAGTCAGCTATTCTCATAATGGTGAAAGTTTTAAACCGACCAAAACGTATGGCAGTGCGGCGGAGTAATCGCCAAGTTTCTCCACTAACCTCTTTAATTTGTGCGAGCAATTCTACTGAGCGCCGAAGTTTATAGCACACCCTCTTGTAGTTGGGCCATAAAGCCGGCGACACATGGAACATTCCATCGCACTTGTTTATATTTAAATATAAAATGTGTTTTTACTCACGTCGTTCGATGGACGCGGAGGTTTAGGTTTACGGCATCATAATGCGGGGTGGCAAATAAAATGCTTGTAAAATCCGGCCAAAGTACTAAATTATATTAAGGGAAAGGTTTCTTTACAGTAATAAATAAAACGCTGACGTGTCCAGGCCCTCCCACAAAACATGGGCAGTAACTGCTAAATGGAAATTTTAGGACTTGGCACTTAAACCGCTTCAGGATTTAATTAAATAATCAACGTAACACGTTTTCCAATGTTCCCTTGAATTGTTCTACAACTTTATGTCCTCGTAACATATTATTGTTTATGATTCGTCAAAAGTTTGAGGTCAAGTTAAACTTTGAAACGTCAGAAACTGTGTGCTCATTCCAAAGAGCTATAATTTATTTTCTTTCCAAATCACCAGTACAGATTTCTTTCCCATAGCTATCACTCGAAATGTCTAATTCAATATTAATACTTACGACTCTTACAATAGTATCGCGGCCCGCGTGGCCCCTAAGGAAGTAATGCATTCAAGTGCACCTCACGCGGGCGCGGGAGCGGGGCGCCGCGCGCCGGCAAAAAGCGTGGAACATAAACTTTGCACTATACCGTACTAACACACTCACGGTTCCGTACTTGAATTAATACGACATGTTGTCGCACGAATTCCTCAACTTACTTTAACTTGTTTAGTTCACTTACACGTACACTAGTTACAGATTCGAAACTCTTTAATTAAGTCCACGTAATGTGGATAATTCGGGTGTACGTACCTATATTTTTAAAGCAATAATTAGGATCTCAGATTCAGACTCATAATCCACATGAAATGCTGATTGTTTACCATAAGGTGTCCTATCTGCTCGTTGTCATTCTATCACATAAACTGCATTAGTTTATAATTATTTTAAATGAGCTGGATAAAGAATCAAAGAACAATCACGGGCTAAAACTGAACAATATTATTAATTAACTGAATTAACTAAGATTTTTCGAACTTCAACAAACTGTTTGTTTAATTTATCAATTACAAAGTCGTTTTAAATCCAATGAACAGGCCTAACTGTATAATTCCGAACATTCAATAAGATTAAACTAAATATTTAATTGGTTGGAAACTTAAACATTTGAGACTCACTTATATTTAAACTGAGTTACATCCAATTAGGTATCCCACAATACAGTTACAGAGATAAATCAGAATTACCGCTAAAGCGTTGCTGTGCAAATACTCGGGAGTTATACAAACCAGAATAATTGAAGAGCGTTAGAGTTATTCATATACCGGTGAGCACGGTCGGCAATAGACCTCTTGCATACAGTGGCGCGCACACGTCTTGTGGGAAAAACTCGCGGCACAAAAGGGTCCATTCAGAGCGGTTTCACGTCTCACTGAATCCTAGCAAGGAGCGCCAAGCAGAACGAATGCAGTGCATTCTTAAGCACCCAATGTTAGTAAGTGGCGGACGGAGGAAGAATTGTGGTTTTTTCCTTACAACTGCACCTTTGTTAGCCCCGGTCGCTTGGTCTCCGGGCGCTACTTACTTCTACAAATCCGTGTTATGTGCTGTAACGGCTTTAATTGGACGTATATTTAGCTTAGAGGTAGTTGCCACGTTCCGACAATATGACCAGTTCATTAAATGGACTAAGCTGAAGCGCATTCGTATATGTGCAGCTGAAAATAAGTTTTATAAGCTAGGAGGAATTGTTGGAATAGTAACAAAGTAAACACTACAAAAGATTTGTTAAAGTAATGTATGGTAGTGATGCTGCTGTGTCCATGGACGGCACCAATGGCTTACCACGAGGAAAACCGCCCATTCGTTTGCCGCTCTTTTATGTAAAAAACTTGTAAACTACCAGATTATGTTCACTAGGTATAAATGCATCCTCTAAGAGATTGTCTAGCTTCACGCCGCGCTAGTTGAAAAGTTTTCCGCTTATAACAGATTAATATACTACAAACATTGACTAGAAATAACTTTGAAACTCACACGTTTGCTTGAATCATGCAGCTGTTGAAAACATAAACTTATTGAAATTTTTCAGAAAATGTGGATACACTGATTCGATACTAGTAACGATGCAAATACAATATGTAAGGTCTCATTCTTACGATTGTAACTTGTGGTGCTTGGTGATCCGGCTAGTCAGTACACTAACTTTGTACCATTACTTTTACGTTTCTGGTTTCCCAGCAAGAAGTTAGTTCAACTAAAAATTTCACTTCACTGGAACTTTATCGGTACGTTTCCTCGAAACTAGCAGAATAATCGAACATGACGTCGGCGTTATGTCTACACAGGCAATGGGGCAGTGATCCTTATCCTCATGTTATAAAATGCATTTTTTGTTTGTTGTCCTTCTTTAATGTCAAAACTGAGTGACGGATTGACGTGATATTGTGTACGGAGGGTTAGTGAGTGACATATATTATGAGACGGGTCCTTTTTTCCCCATGAAAAGCTCGTATTATAACCCCATGTAACTTTAATTTACGAAAAAAACCATATTGTAGGTTCAATTATGAAATATTTACACTTTATCGATCATAGATGGCGCTTGCATAGTATACGGCAATTCAATATCGTGGCAAGCAAATTCTAAATAAAAATTTCTTTAGCTACAAAAGCAAAAACGTTCAGACACTACTATATTATACAAACATATTGTACAGCCAAAGGTTATAAATAAAACATACAGGAACATAGGAAATAAGTCTTTATTAAGTGTAACATACGGTATAATATTCTGTCGTCTATGTACAATATTTACAAGGCTTTGTCATCTCTTGCAGCGACCAAGGCGCTTCACTGCTCGCTTGAGACCCGCGTAGTAGTGCATCACTTGTTCCTGTAACAATATTATGTACTTATTTATTATTTATATGAACATAGGAATTGAACAGAGAGGTTGTGTAATAGTAGTACATTAATATGACTAGGGAAACGTGGTTTTATCAAATAATACAATATATTACAAAGGTGATTCTATTTTATGCATCATGTAAAATATATGCACAGGTTTTGTGTACAGTTTTTATAAAATTGTATTCAGCTAAAGTACCTGCAATGCTCTCACATAACGCATAAATTTTATCAAAAGGTAATTGATTAAAACATGGTGTTATCACTAAATTATATTAAAATTTTTTGGTCGATCGTTATGTATGCTTATAACTATGCAACGGGTTTTGATGCGGCTTTATTTGTGTATTTCTTTATCTTTAATCTTCTCATTTGTTTTGAGTGGGATTGCAAATATACAAATTCACATACACTAGCCACGCAGACCCAAAACCACAATTTGTGGATCAAACGTAGTTTTGTCCCGTGCGGGAATCGATTCCACGACATGTTACGCAGCAGCCAGTTGCCCAGCCACTGCGCCAATCAAGCATTCGAAAAGTAATTAAATAATAATAGACAGAAATTGAAAAGGTTTATATGTTACCATAGATTAAATAGTGGAGAAATTTAGCATCAGTCTCAGAAATAGAGAGCAAATAGTTTTATTCAAAATCCGATATCAGTCAAGTACAAAAAAACGCGTTACGTGAAACGTGTTACACCAGAATATCCGATACAAATAAAAAAGAATTCAATGATAAATTTATGGACGTTGTATACGCTTCCTGTTGACATATATCTGCGTCAGTAAAAAAGTTAAACATTTTTACATATTCCACGCGTACGACGTGGCGTGACTGAAATCCTGAAATTTCTAGAATATCTCTGTTTGTCTGCCATTTGTTCTGACTTCCCACGAAACTATGAGTGAATTGTCTCGTGGCAAGAGAATTCTGAGATAATGTATTACTGCAGTGTGTAGTACTGTAACACAGAATGTTTCGCCACGAAAATAACTTTTGAATGTTTAATGCGTTTGTGGAACATTTAATTAGTTAACATTTTGCGAGTAACAGGGCTTTAGATTGAAGAGTAACCAAACTTTATGTTTTTAATAAAAGTAGACAGATTCGGACGAACAAGTTCATCAATTAAAAATTATTTTTGTACATTAAGTCAGTGCATAAAATTATCATTTTTGACGAATCGTAACGAGTTTTTGGTTATTAAGTTTTTGGATCTTTTCATTGTTTTCCATACATGGGGCTTACGACGTAGCCTGTAGCATTTACATAGTTTAATTTAAAATGCTGACATTTACAAGTGCTTCCACGTAGCCTATTTGCGAAATATACAATCATTTGATTTCATATCGTTCTTTTAAACGTCGTACGTCGTCCCACACTAAAATTTGCTTCAATTTTAAATACACATCACATTCAGGCCCGATTCACAACATGCAGATCACACAAAGGTCTGTACGGTTCCCGCACGGAACAAGTCTGTGTCATGGCGTCAACTGTATGTTACTGTATGGTTTCTCCTAACCTGCATGAGGTTGAAGCACATGGCCACGAGCGCCATGCCCAGCATGAGGTACAGTGAGCAGACGATGAAGGAGGGCTCGATACGCGCCGTGTACACACGCTCGCCAGGGACGAAGTCTCCGAACCCGATGCTGTGGAAGACATAAAAATGGTTAGTACACACCTCACAGAAAACCGGCGTGAAATAACCATAGCGTTGTGTTTCGCCGTGTGAGTGAGATTACCGGAGGCCCAATCCTTCCCCTCCCCAATCCCTCCTAAATCCCTAAATCTCGAAATCCCTAATCCCTAAAAGGTCGGCAACGCACTCGTAACTCCTCCGTTGCGAGTGTCCATGGGCGGCGCTGATTGCTTACCATCAGGTAATCCGTCTGCTCGTTTGCCGACCTATGAAATAAAAAAAAAATAGTAACTATCGATAATATACCTCAGAATATATTTAAATATTATTTTTTTTATAGAATCCTTATATATAGGTATGTATATCATAGGACAAATTCACAATTAATTAATATCACAGCTTGTTGACGTGAAACATTAAACAAAATCTTTTTTAATTTAAAGTCACACGAAAGAATCTCATCCACTCACTCTTATTTGAGCAGCGTAATTTTAATTAATTGAGTATGTTTTATAATCTTTATTTTTTCCCAAAAACGTCCATTATTGCGTCTACCAGAAACAAACTCGAAAATTATCGAACGTGTTTGAAAATGGTTTGCATACCTACATTTCAAAAACGGAAACTTGTATGTCGTGCTGGGTCGTGGCGCGTGCTAACCTTTGTATAAATCCGTATAATGCTCCTGGCGCATTATGACACCGAAGTGTCTTGAACCTGATATTTGACGATAATCTTGTGCTTATCCTTAGAGAAAAACACACAACGAACACGAAAAAATCTCATCCAATCATTTATAAGATATACTAATATATTAATTTTATTATTATTGTAAACTTAACTTAATAGAACATATAGTAAGTCAATAACAAGGTAATGATATCTACTATGTCAATAGTTTAGAAATCTGATCCAAAAGACAAACTGTGTATACAGTTTTGTTGGACATTTTATACTTTTTATAATGTAAAATGTACCTTCTATTATATTGTATTGCAATAATAAATAAATAATAATAAATAAATATTTCAATTAGACCCTTACAGGCACTTTTTAACGACAAACAAAGCTTCGAAACTCAAGTGTCAGTCTGTCGGTGAGTCGTCTTAGTGAAGCTATTTGCTCGTTACAAAGTGTTGTTCCACTCATAACCATAGTCCAGTCAGGGGCATCATACCTGCTTAGTGATATGAAGCAGAAGTAGGCTCCGTCCAGCTGATCCCACTTCTCCCACATGCCGAAGATCATTGACCCGAACATGATGTACCTGGGCACACATTAGGACGAAATTAATTGCTATTTCATTCATTTAGTACTGAAAATAGACCCTACGGCCTAGAAAGGTCGATCAATTGTCTAGAATCTAGATTCTACAGAGAATCGATTTCAAAATCCTCATCAAAGTCTGGGAGATTGGAGAGTAATACATTGTATACCTTTCAAAGTGAATCAAAGCCAAATCAAATTTTGAAGATTTTTGGTACTTGAAAGGAATGACACGATACATGATGTTCACTAAGACAAAGTCAAAAAAGAATCATTTATTAGGCACTCTTGAACGTTAAACAAATAATTAAATACAGGTGAAAAGTAAAAGAGTGTCAGCATGTCGGTCAGTCCTCTAGTGAAGCTATTCGCTCGTTCCAAAGTGTAGATTCCGATGGAGAAGAACGAGCAAGAAACTCCATGGTATGGTGGCATGGTGGGTCTTTTTCAATCAAATACTAATATTGGGGAGTAAAAAAGAAAACGCAGAAATTCAAAATTGTTTGTACCAATGATTGAGAATAAACACAATGATACGTACGTTATTGGGTTATCAATCAGAAACCTTAATATAATTTGACCTCTAGTGCTATCAAAACCTAAAACTTCAAACTTTTGAAGTTCAAAACCCTTGACTTTTATTTCGACAGCCAGACGAGATTCATAAAGGCAAAGTTTATGGAAAACTTTTAATTGATTATATAGAATTTTAGAAAATAGGTTTAGTTTATTGTTCACATAATACAAATTGCATGATAGTATAAATTTTAATAACAGCCACTTGAATCGTCATCGTTTGCCTTTTAGATCAGATGGTCACTAGAACTGAAATCAAATGACATAATTTCGTCGCCAACGAAAAATGATTTCTCAACAAAAGCCTAAAGGTCGTATTTCGTTTGTAGCAATGCATCGATTTCAGATACCATCAACCATCTAACACAAATTCCAGGAAAAACAGCTCGTGACCTTTGACCCTTTATTAAATTTGAAAACAATATTGTATTTCACCTTGTCTTTCATTTCAAGTTAAGGGAAATCATCAACTTGACAGTAGCTATTTTATATTTCACTATTAAAATATTAATAACATTGCTCCTCAGATATTTCTAATTAATACTAAGCTGTCATTATACGGATAAAACAGGCATTTAATTGTATTTACCTTAAATTCCTAATTCAAATGTCGCTTTAGGAGGAATAAGAAAATCCATTTCAAGCGAATCAAATTGACGAAGGTTCTACCTATCAAAACAGTTAATCTCAGAAAAACATTTTCTAAATTTAAATACTGACAAATAGCTATTTAATAACAGAAATACTGTCTAGTCAAAACAATTCATTTTGACCATTTTAAACACAGAACAAAATGAGAAACAAACTATAAATACTCAAATTAATATTCCTTTCAATCTGTTTTTATGAATTTTAATAGCGTTCAGAGATTAGTAAAGAATTTTAAAAGCTAACAAACTAGAGTATTTCGGTAGAAATATTAAATTTATTTTCCAATGAGAGTAATACTAAACTTATCAAATAAGGCTAAGGATTTTCAATATGACTCCCATTTAATATTACGAAACTCGATCTTTAATAAACACCAACTCTTTTTTCCCTCTAGCTAGTTGGGACAGTGAAATTAATTTATTTTTTATGTTCTCTCGTTCCATTTCCACAGCGAATACCGAAAAATGTTTCCACTTTATCTCGGGGTTGGCACGCTCTGGGCTTTCAGGGAATTCTCTACATTCAGCATACAGACAGATATTCGGTAGCCTACGGACCGCAGGTAACAAAATTTGTCTAGTATAAAATGTTATAGGTACACCTTTAAAGGTTTATTGCGAATATTTCAAGAGAACAATACAACACTCTATTGAAAACTACATGTAGGTACCTACTTTGGTGCGGTTATTATGGCTCAGAGGTTAATTGAGGGTCGAGGAGGTTTCTCATGCACGAGGGTTGTAAAACCTGGCAAGAACCAAGGTGTCTTTTTCCGAATTGTCTGTACTGACATGCGATGACGGAAAACAAAGTGAGAAAATCTGCATTTATCATTTAAATAAGTATGAAAATCGCCAACATCGCCAAAAAGGCCTTTGATCAGCAATGGGCTATCATAAGCTGATGATGATTTTAAGAGTATTATTTATAAATTCAACCAACTTATCCATCTCTTCAAGTTTGTAAAGGTTCAATACTAATTAAACAGTACTTACCCAACCATGATAGACACACAGACACTGATAGGCACGGTGATGGTCTGTGCATCAAATGTAACGTAGCTGAAGTCACTGGATGGGGGGCTCTCGGCGGGTCGCACGGGCTCGGAGCACCCACGCCGTGGGACCACGCGGGTGACTCGCGGGTCGTATGGCTGCGGCATTGATATACTGCGCATGTAGTCTGGTCTTCTGGAAGAGAGGAAGGATGAAATACTATTATATATTTATACTATTATACTATTAGATTTTAGTCTGAGAGCCCAAATTTCGGCACGAATGGGTCAGGTTAAGGTCAACCGGAGTGAATACCATGGTCTCACAGAAAACCGGCGTAAAACAATCACAGCGTTGTCCGTACCCCTCAACCCGTTCCTCCCCATGCTTAAATATCCGAAACTCTTACCCCAAGAAGGCCGGCAACACACTCGTAGCTCTTGTGGTGTTGCGGCTTCCACGCGTGGCGCCGATTGCTTTCTATCAGGTAATCAATTTGCTAGTTAGGGAAACTATATCTTAAAAAAATCTTCGTCCTTTAAGAAGCCGGGATGTGACCTTATATTTTCTTTTAAGTTAAGAAAATCTTTAGTAATTTCTACCACGAAAGTATCCGGAGAACTCAAATGCAAAAAATGTGAACTTAAAAAATCTAACATAATAAATCACAACAATCTCCTTGTTAATCACATAATTCTTTATTTATTTGACCTCTTCACCCCACATCTAACAGATTACAAAATAATAATAATAATAGCACAGAATTTCATGAAGCACTTCAGTCTTTATTTAATTACATGCCACATTTAATTATACATTTTATTACAAAACCCGAGTCGTAAAGCTTGTAAAATTAAGTGGCTTACACACAGCTGTAACTTTATTACGGGAGACATCTAATTCATTAAAGATGTCTATCTCATTAAGCCTTCAAAGAAATTCTTTAAAATACTACAGCGGCGGTGGCGGCTGTGATACCTCCTTTGACAATAAATTCGTCTTACGCAAACATTATTATCCTGCGTGGTTTAACCATTTCCGAATCCGTAATTGTCAAGCCTCGTTAGTATTATTTTAACTCGCTTTTATCTAAAAACGTTTTGAAGATTATGTTTAATTCGAACCGATTGCGATTCAAGGAAGTTTTTGATTGTTTCGTAAACACCCACCAGTTTTTGTTCAAGATAAAATCTGAGAGAGCCGATACGAGAGTCATTGGTTAACCTAAATTAATGAACATTGCAATTACGTTGTTATTTGCTTTGTAAAAGAATTTAATTGTAAAATATGATGTTTATGATGGTTATCAGGTAAATTATTGACCAATTTACAATAAAGGTGTAAGTAGGTAATGTTATTATGGTATTGATTGCCAACAAAGTTAATTTGCGCTTAATCAGCTATGATAAACAGCATTGCAGTCGGTTGCTGAATAATTATTCGTGTAATCGATGCAAACGTATGTAGGAATTAATTAATATTAACTGCAGACTGCAATAGACAGGAGACCGGGCTATATCTGTAGATTACGCGATATTACGTCAGTATTACAAGAGTTTTGGGGAAATATTGTTTAGCTGTGTACTCAAACGAACATTCTAGTTAAGTGTGTAGCATTACACACTACTTATGCATCTATCAATCGACATGTCACATACTAATGTACATTTATTTACTAAGACAATGCGAGAAGACGGTCATTGAATATAAAATAAAACTTGAATACAAGTTTCTCTTTATCCAACGAGACGATGTATTTTATTTAACGTTCCAAACGCTTATTCATAAGAAAGTTGTTTTGTAAAAGTTCATTGTGCGGTTTCAGTGAGTACTAGCCACAAGCGAAGCTGAGTTCTTTACTCTCGGGAGCACGAAACACTGATTGTGCAGGCACAAACTTGCAGCCGGCCAGTTTTATTAGACAACTTGTGCAGAGTTTGATTCCAGCCGCGACTTGAGAACAAACACTAGCTATTGAACTGAAAACTTACTTTTACTAATCTAACTTTGCATAGTTTTGAGTGCTGCCAAACTGCAAGAAATAACATTGTTTGCAAGTTTCGGATTCCGTCGGTAATGAGCATGCAAATTGTACAATTTCTGCACGTTCAGTTTTGAATTCCGAATCGGAATCAGCCAGCGGAGTTAGGTGAGGTAATATACGTGTGTTGGTAGACTACTGCTAATCGGAATATTGTAGTTTAACATTCCTAGTCTAATCTAATTTTTGAATATTAAATGACTTCTAGTATTTTAACTGTAAAAAAATACAACAGCTTTATCATCATCTACTAAAACTATCATACTAGCTAGCTATTCTATCTTCAGCCGGGGTTGCGGGGCAAGCGCCAGGAGAAGGAACGGGTGATTTTAGTCAGAAAGAGTCTGTCACTCGCTCTCGCCTCACCCTAGACCTACCCTCACAAAAAGCTATCCTATCTTACTATCATTTTTACACGACAATGATAACAAAATAAAATACTACAACAACAAACTACAAACTTCTCATATACACGACACTCGGTACCAAAGAATACGTAACAACAGTAACAAAAGCAACAACACCGCTTCAAGTAAATATAAAAGTCGTGGCATTTATTTCTATACCACTTCTCACGACCTATCTAACAAGAACTGTACGTCAAATAAAGTTAGATGCTCCATTCTTTGGTTGTGTTTTAAATTCCACAACATATAAGGAGGAAAATTATATCTCTTTTGATGTTGCGAATGCCATTTTATTACCTACTACCAGTTAATATGGCAGGTACTTTTTTAAGGTTTAACCTTAAAAAATATGTATAACCCTTGTCGATCGGTAAAGGATCTTCAATCAGCTAGGGTGTTCGAGGCAATCCGTACTGGTATTAGGATAGTCATCATCGTCATCATCAGACTATAAGTGTCTATTATTGAGCAAAGGCCTTCTCTCACACGGAGAAGGTTTGAGCATCAATCATCACGCTTGCTCATGGCGAATTTTGGATGTCAAATTCGTAATAACAAATTTAAGTATTCTTCAAGATGTTTTCGTTCGCCGTATTTTACGAGTAGTGGTGTCTCAATAAACTTGGAAAGTATTCAGAGAAAGTCACATAGTAACTTCTTAGGTTTTGACCCTGGGCCACCACGGTATTTCCTTCGCCTTCGGGGCTTAGCACGATAAATTTGTAAAGCTAAAAAGTAAACATTCTGTGTTTTTATGCGTTTTTGATTCTCTTCCTTTAAACACACGAACAGGAGTTCCTTTACAATATCAGTATAGTTCACAAGAACACTAGATATTCCAGTTTTAAGATGTAAACTATGTTGATAGACAGCCAGTACATCCAGACATTGAACTGGTATTGGCACGTATAGTATGTCTTTGGCCACGGCTAGGAGTGACGTCATCAAATAGCCCGCTATCGTAAACATGGCCGCTCACATGCACTCCATTAGTGCTGCAGATAGAATGCATCTGGATCTTGGATCGAATGCAAGAGAAATCAAAAGTATTGATGTTTTACGAACTCTTGAGTGATTTAGGTAGTAGTTGGCGTGATAGCTGAATTTCGAACCGAGATTCCGATGCAACGTACCCTGGAGAACATTCTTGTCCAGAAAATGTGTTTGAATTTGCTGTTGGGTTGCGTTTTGATTTGATTCCCTCATGGAACAATTCTTTGTGTGATTAGCAAAATTTTTGTTCTGGATCATTGTGAAATTGTATGTTTAGAAACGTACCCAAGACTCAGGTTAAAAAGAATAAATGGCGAAATCCGTTGCTACAATCATGTCGACACAGACTTGCTCGTTGGCAGCCCTATTCTAAAAATATATAACTCACCTAGGATATCCTCGAGGAGGTGGATACCTCCCTGGAGGGACAACATAGTCTGGTGTAACATCAGACTCTGGGTACCGCGACCTCCATGCTTGCGGACGCTCTATACTCTCCGCTTCACTTAACTCATACTGCAAGACAAAAAGATAAATTAAGAATAATAACTTTTAAAATAACCTAGCTGTAATAGCAAAGCTCCTTTTTGATGGAGGCGATTATAAAAAATTATCTTTTCTAAAAGGGGAAATCTCAGATAGATTTAAGTGTGGGAGAACCATGCTTCGGCACGAATGGGTCGGTTCGACCGGAGTGATACCACGGCCTCACAGAAAACCGGCGTGAAACAACCACAGCGTTGTGTTTCGCCGTGTGAGTGAGGTTACCGGAGGCCCAATCCTTCCCCTTCCCGGACCCTTCCCCAATCTCTAAATATCCAAATCCCTAATCCCTAAAAGGTCGCACTCGTAACTCCTCCGTTGCGGGTGTCCATGGGCGGCGCTGATTGCTTACCATCAGGTAATCCGTTTGCTCGTTTGCCGACCTATTACATTAAAAAAAAAGATAGGTATTCTAGCACAGCTAATAACAGCACCACAACAAGCATAATAATGCGGTTATTATCAGTCAGTCGCGTGCGCGCGTCCTATGCGAGTGGTCGCGTATGTGTGATTGCCCGATAATGTCCGTCGATACGATTAAGTGTGCGAACTGTAATGTGGTGATATCGGAAGTCCTTGCGTTTATTCGTAATAAACATGACGTTATGGATAACGAAAGTCTTATAAGAATATGTGTGTCGGCGTTTTCTGTGGAGGAAATCGACGAGGCGAAGATATTGTTGTGCAGTACGACAACGATTGGTAAACGACTGAAGTCGAGACGAAAAGACAAAAAACAAAAGGATTTGGAAGACATGATAGCGGTTTTCAAAACTATAGACCCTGATAAATTGCCGGTTTTTGTCGCTTACGATCTACATAAGCTGCCGCCTGTGTGTTTCGACCACGTAGACGTCACGAAAATACTAAAGGACCTATTAATCTTGCGTGCGGAATTAAATGATATTAAAGAAAACTCCGTCACTAAGAACGACCTAGAAGTGGCCCTGAAAGAGAACAATGTCATACAATCATCTTCTAACCAGTTACAAAACCCGATATTTCACTCTAATGTGAATAAAATTAGAGGTGGAGGGTATAACTTAAACAGCGGACCGTTTGGTTTGTCGCCGCAAATACTTCCGCAACATTCACAGCTGATCGATTCTGACTCACGTTCGTTAACACAGCCAATAAGTGACGATGACGGGCCGAAGTATCGCTCTCTCGTTCACTCACATGCACATCTACAGACTGTTGAAGAGTCAGCGATCTCGCCGATTAACTCGACTCTCTTAGAAAAAACGGATGATATGAATAGAAATCTTATACAATCAACGCAGTGCAATAAAACTGTGGCCGAAGTATTAGTGCAAGGCGAATGGCCTAAAAATTGCACTAAAGATGGTTGGACGCTTGTTCAAAATAAAAAGCCAAAGAATCGATTTGAAGGAAATACGGGAACCGCAAGCCCTAATGCAAATTTTAAATTTAGGGCCGCGGACTCAAAAATTCCGCTTTTTATTACAAATGTTGACAAAGAGACTACTGAAAAAGATATTTGTGATTACATACAAAATAAGACGCAAGAAATAGTGCAGCTTCAGAAAATCAATATGAAATCTGAAAGGCCGTATAATGCTTTTAAATTGTTTGTCTCTAAATACAAAATGAATAAATTTTTAGATGACAAAATATGGCCTGAGGGTATTCGGTTTAGACAGTTTATTTACTTTAAAAATAAAATAATAAAAGTAAATAAGCAGAACTGTGTTGAAAATATAACAAACGGTTAATGGATTATATGTCGAACGTTAAGCTATGCACTTTCAACTGTAAAAACATAATTCGATCAGCTGATTGCGTTCGTCAACTATGTGTGCAAGCCGATGTGATAGCGTTACAGGAGACTTGGCTGCTGCCCCACGACGTGCCCTTCCTTGCGACCATTGATGGAGACTTTGCGTTCACTGGAAAATCATCCGTGGACACCTCTGCCGGTGTACTGGTTGGCAGACCGTACGGAGGTGTGGCGCTTTTGTGGAGGAAATCGTTATTTGCATCGGTATCGGTTGTTAATTGTGCTAGTGATCGTATCGTGTGTATTAAAATGACGCAGGGCGAGCGATCTTTGCTAATATTTAGTGTTTACATGCCCACCGACTGTGCTGAAAATCTTGTTGAGTTTACGAGATGTCTTAGTGAGATTATTTCAGTGATTGAGAGCAGTGAAGTGGAGTCCGTTTTTGTGTTGGGAGACTTTAACGCGCATCCTGGGACTCGATTTGCACGTGAGTTACTTTTAACATGTATTGATCAATCATGGTCTTGCATTGATACAGAACTTTTGCCGAAAGACTCGCACACATTTACTAGCTCCGCCAACGGCGCCCTCCGCTGGCTGGATCACTGTGTTGTTACTGAGGCCGCCAGACGTCTGGTGAATAATGCGTCTATATTGTACGGCGTTTACATGTCGGATCATATTCCATTACTAATAGAATGTAACATAAACCAAATTAAACCTAAAATTTTTGAATCGAAAATTTCTTGTAACAAAGTTGTATGGGGTGAAAGGGATTTAGAACAAATAAATGAGTATTTTGATTACTGTAATAGCAATTTAAAACAAATAGATTTTCCTCCAGAATTTTGTGAATGTGCTGATAGTATGTGCCATAATCCTGAGCATAGGGCTGTGATTGATAAGTTATATAATAAATTAATTTGTATTTTGAAAAAGGGAGCTGAACTTACTCATGCTGGCTCTGTTAATAAGTGTCGCAAGGGAAAGTATGTAGTGGGGTGGAACAAACACGTTCGTGAGGCTCACCATGGTGCCCGAGTGTGTTACCAGACGTGGCTGGAATATAACAAACCTACTTCTGGACTTATTTATGAAAATATGTGCAAATCGCGAAATCTTTTTTTAAAGTTAAATTGAAATATTGTCAAAACAATCAAGAGAAGATTAAAATGGATATGTTAGCAACTTGTCATAAAAGGAAACAATTTAATAAGTTTTGGAAATTAACAAATAGACTCAAACATCGATCGGGGGTACCGGTGAGCATCGCGGGCGTGAGCGACCCCACGGATATAGCTAATGCTTTCCGAAAACATTTTAATATAAAATCGCGGTTGTGTGGCTATAGTGAACCGTCACATAGAGGCGCGGGGGTTGTCGTGGCTGGGGTTCCTCCTGTTAGGTTCTCCGCTAAAGAAGTCGCGAGATGTATACAGAACATGGTGAGGGGAAAGTCTCCCGGTCACGACGGCCTCAGTGTTGAACATCTTAAATATGCTGGCGTTCACTTACCGCGAGTACTAGTTATGATTTTTAACTTATGTCTAAGTCATAGTTACTTACCTGTAGAACTTAGCAATACGATCGTTGTGCCAGTAATAAAGAACAAGACTGGTGACACCTCCGATATCTCCAACTATAGGCCGATATCGCTCGCCACTGTCTGTGCTAAGGTGTTGGATAGTCTGCTTGATAAACTTTTAGCTAAGTATATTGTTCTCGAGGATGGTCAGTTCGGTTTTAGACCGAACTTGTCAACGGATAGTGCAATTTTGTGTCTTAAGCAGACTGTCCAATATTATACTGACAGAAAGACTCCTGTAATGGCATGTTTCCTGGATTTATCGAAGGCATTTGACCTAGTCAATTACGACCTACTCTGGCATAAGCTAACTCACGACACTGCTGTCCCAGCTGATGTGATATCATTGTTGAGATATTGGTACAGTAGTCAACAGAATACTGTTAAGTGGGCTGGATCGTATTCCGATGTGTATGGATTGGATTGTGGGGTGAGGCAGGGGGGGTTGTGTTCCCCACGTCTCTTTAACCTATACATAAACAAACTGATAGGTATGCTCAGCAGCACCAACATAGGTTGTCACGTTGACGGTGTTTGCGTTAACAACATCAGCTACGCTGATGATATGGTGCTGCTGAGCCCATCTATCAGTGCAATGAGAAATCTACTCAAAATTTGTGAAAGTTATGCAGTGGCTCACGGGCTCAAATACAATACCGTTAAGAGTGAATGGTTAGTTTTTAAATCAGGTACCTTAACGTACGATCAGCTACCTGAACTGTCACTCTCTGGGTCTCCGTTAGCTCGGGTTTCGAGATTTAAGTACTTGGGCCATTGGGTCACTGACGACTTAAAAGACAATGTAGACATTGACAGGGAGCGCAGGTCGCTGGCTGTCCGTTGCAACATGCTGGCCCGCAGGTTTGCGCGCTGTTCTGATTCGGTGAAGATAACACTTTTTAAGGCCTTCTGCCAGTCATTTTATGCGTGCAGCCTGTGGACCGGGTTTACCCAGCGGGCTTACAGCGACCTGCGCGTACAGTACAATAACGCATTCAGGGTGTTGTTGGGGTTACCGTGGCGATGTAGCGCGTCAGGAATGTTCGCGGACGCGTGTGTTGACGGGTTCGCCGCGATCATGCGAAAGCGTTGCGCCTCCATGATGTCGCGCCTGCGCTCCACCTCCAATGGCATCCTGAATGTGTTCGCAGATCGGTGGGACTCTCCCCTCATACGAAGGTGGATAAGTGTGCAGACACACTTATCTAAATAAACTGGTGTGTTTAAATTGTAAAATGGACACTAACATTAGGCTAAGTTGTTTTATTACTAACAATATATGGATGTAAATCTGAAATAAATAATTTTGAATTTGAATTTGAATTATGCTTGTTGTGGTGCTGTTATTATCTTTCCAAATAATCTTAATGTATCTGGCAACAATGCTAGATTGCTTACCACCAGGTAATCCGTCTGATCGTAGCCAACCTATTTCCATTAAAAAAGTCCTTTACTTATGTGCCGTAAAAGTTATTGTTCAGTTAGTATTAACAGTTGCATTGTCGATTGGACTACACAACTTGATGCTCTTACACGTGTAGATAAGAAACCACTTAACGAAGACACGGGGTACAGCTACCTTCCTTTCATTATCTATTTAACCTTCCCTAATCTAAATGTCAACGTAGATGATTATTTCACTAGCTTCCCAACCGTCATAGCACTTGACAGGTCTATTTTTAGCCATTTCTGATTGGTCAGTCCATCGCTTCACGTTGCCATGGCAACCAGTAACAATACTAGTGAAGTAGATGATATTTGAGGTTAATGTACGGACGTCGTTTCTTGGCGGTTATTTTTATTAGGAAATATTTGTTTTTACCGAACCTTAGACTAAATGCTAATTAGAAACTGCCGTTTTGGTATTATTTACTGTCATAATACAATAGTTTATTTAAAATTATCTAGTCGACTTTCAATCCTGGAAGAGTCGTAACGGCTATGTCTCTTTTTCCTACCAAAAAAATCAAACCCAAAGCCCTATGTTTATCAGTGGCCTCTGACACATACGTATGTGCGTTTACTCATTTTAAATGAGCCAGGGTTGGCTCGACCGCAGTGATAGCACGGCATCACAGAAAAGCGGCGTGAAACAACCACAGAGTTGTGTTTCTCCGTGTGAGTGAGGTAACCGGCGGCCCAATCCGTCCCTCTCTCTCCATCCCTCCCAAATCCTTAAATATCCGATAACCTTATCCCCAAAAGGCCGGCAACACTCGTAACTCTTTTGCTTTTGTAGTCCATGGGCGGCGCCGATTGCTTACCATCAGGTAAGCCATCTGCTCGTTTGCCGACCTGTTCCATAAAATAACATAAAGTTATACGGTAGATAATGAACGAGCAACACATGGGTTTACTTCACCAGCTCCAAACATAAATATTTACATTGATGTACGCATCGTTCAACACTTTCCTCCCTACTCGTGACAGAACATTTCTATCTGTCACGGCCCAGTCAAACAGGCGAGTCTAATTCATAGTAAATAGACTCGCCCACGTACCACACTACCTCGGACCGTCCGCTACGAAACTGATAATAATTGATGATGTGCTTTAAGTAAACTCTATCTAGTTGTACAATCTTTATATTAAAAAGATCTGTGTTAATACGAATATTGAATCAAATATCACGTCGAAGTGTTTTGTTATCAAAAAGTTATTGAAAACTTATTGATTTATTTTCAAGTGCCTTGTCATTTTGGTGGACGGTTTTCTATTTCCATCGCATTTGAAACTCTTAATCTAAAAAGTACATATGATTTGGGAAGAATAGTAGATATTATTACAAGATTTAGAAAATGTAGTTTTATTCTGATAAACACAGATGAGAGAGAAAAGTAAAACGAGTACTAATAATTGGTGGAAATAAAGGATATATATCAATTTGTTCAAGAATTCAACGCATTACCTTAAAAAATAAGAAACAGAATTTATTAAAACGATAAAGTTTTACCTGAAGTCGTAACCTGGCGGCTCTTCTTCTGGTGAATCCTGGACAGCCCCTGCAGAGGCAGACCAGCGCGTAGATACACTTGAACCAACGCGCCAACAGCTCGCCTGAAAGTATTACTTCCTTAAAAAATTACTATCACGTTTACGTTATTTTAATATCACGTTTTGTGATCCCCTAAGGGATACGCAAATGCACTCATACTAAAGGTAACTCCCACTTTCCACAAGCTATTTTTATTTCATACAAGTCTCCACAACATATTCTATAGCAAAAATGAAAAAAGCTTCTAAGCCTGCCACTAGATTAGAACTTTTGCTTATCAGCCCCAATAATATACATACACAATTAAATATACCTGTTTTAAAAGTCGTTTTTAGAAAAACAACTGATTAATAAAATTTTGGTCCTTTGATCCCAACAATAAGTACGTAAGGACCACATTTTTCTTTTAATGCAATTATACTACGGCGATATAAAGGCACTCTACTTAAAGTTTAGAAAGGTATACTGATTCTTAAAAGCTTTAGTCGAATTAAAACCATTATCAAAAGAAAGGTGATCTTAAAAACTTGGGTGAATGGGGTCATCTAAAGGGCCTAGACAATAAAAATAGAAATCCAATTACCTATTGATATCCACTCCATTGTTTTCCAGATTAAAAAATTCTTTAACGTAATAAGGTTATTTGTCCGTTGTAATTGTTTTCAAACTGTGGCAATTACTTCAAGTTCATTCAGAAGTGGTTTGAAAGAAAAAGCAAAATTAATTGTCTTAACGAACAGTGTCAATCAAATTAGGTACACCGTTTATTATTTTTCACTCGACTACGGAATTAACTTAAAATAATAAACGCTCATTCGTAATGTCGGTGCTAGCTTAAATGGTTAATGGCATTTAGGACCCTATTTACACTAAATGGATAAAGGTAAAAGTCCCCGAGATTCAAGATACGCGAGTAACATGGGTGACTGAATGGGTCCCATAAATACTACCGGACCAAATCACATACAACCAGTAACACGTTTACTTCAGTACATTTTCAACTGTAATACAAAACGGTAAAGTTTATAACGTATTAAAGAAATGTAGATTGTAGTTTACGACAAAGATACAAGTTGTTCAGCTTGGTTGTTTAATCGTAGCGAAAAAGACCAATAAAAGATCTTTAGGAGAGAACTCAATCAGAATTTCACAACTTTGTCAACTTAAAGTATAATTAATAATGGATACATCATCATCATCATCATCATCATCATCAGCCCTTTTCAGTCCACTGCTGGACATAGGCCTCTCCTATTGCACGCCACTGGGATCGATCTTCGGCCACTCGCATCCAGCTCCTGCCAGCCATCTTGCGCAAATCATCACTCCACCTTGCCTGAGGACGTCCTACATTACGTTTGCCGAGACGCGGTCTCCACTCAAGAACTCGTCTACTCCAACGGTCATCGGTTCTTCGGCTAATATGGCCAGCCCACTGCCATTTCAGCTTGCTAATCCGGTGGGCTATGTCGATTACCTTAATGGATACATAAGATACAAAAACTCACACCTTTGCAGCTTAACCAATTAGAATATCAGAAAACACAGCTACATTCACATAGTTCCACAATCGATTACATCAAAAAACATTTCACGGAAAAGCAAAATCCTTCACAGAAACGATATTACCAAAGCGTGTGTTGGACCCGTGCTTCTTAGAAAAAGGGCCACTTGGTTGCTATTGAAACAAAATGAATGGTCAGCTGATAGAAATAAAACGTTTCGACCTGTCCAAATGTATACGAAATGGAATTTACAATAACAGCTGTTTGTTAAACACAATGTTCTGTTTGATGTGTTTATAAAAATGACAACTTCCTTCCGAAGCCACGGTAAACAGGCTGAGCTCTGTGATCAAATGAAAAACGAAACGTTTCTATTATTTCTTCTCAGACGTCTCCACGTGATTGCTTCGTACATACAATCACGTGGATTTTATAATAAATAACCGAATTTTCCCCCATTATTATTTATACTTTTACGAGTTTGGTAGGAACAAAGGAAATTCGGGATTGACTTTCGATATTGTTTTCGGAAACTCACGAAATATCTGAGCCTAAATTTTGTGTCCATCTACGACAGAAAACAATAGATACACATTTTATTCTATGGCACTGCGAGTAATAAATCGACTGATAAATATAGAAATTACTCTCTCTCTTTTCTCCCCAATCCCTTCAACAATCAATCCACTTTAGATCTTCATACCGTTAACATTGAAATTTATCACTTCACCGCCATGTTCACACTTCGTCTAATAAATTCACTTCCCACTGGTACCATTCCCATCACGCTTCACATCCATCCATCTACATACAATCACCATTCATCCATCTTTTCACTCCAGGTATTCCAAGAAAGACGGCAAATCTCGTAAAGTGTTTAATTTAATAAGTAACCTTAAAATTCAAATAGTAATATGTCAAAAATTTTATTGTGGGAGCTACATGTACAACTGTACATTATGTAAATACATTCTCAGTTTCTAGGAAGTTGGAAAACGTCAACCTCTTTGTAAAATTGTCTACGTTGCTTGCGTTTTTTGGAAACACAGGATTTGTTTATACATTAATTCTCATGAAATAAAAAAACAATCTGTTTCGCATTAAATTCAAACTTAATATAATCAATGCGTAAGTAACTCCGTCGGTCTGTTTGTCTTTTCTTCACGCCTAAAGTACTGAACCGATTTCTTTAAAATTTGGTACAGACTTTGATTGGAATTCGAGAAAGGACTTAGGATAGTTTTCATACCAATAATCTGCAGGAAGACACTATTACACGCGAACGGAGTCGAATCAATATAATTTGACGACGATACAGTTCAACTTACAATATTTTTATACCTAACATAAAAATCGTTATGACCGATTTTTTTCTAATGAGCCATCTCACTTAGCAAGAATCCATCTAAGCAATTATGAAAACCTTAATGATGGGTCATCATTAAGGTTTTCATTACCTTCCGATTACTTCACCTCATTGATTGGCTACAATAATGGCCGACCGGCAAATTCGTCAGCGTTTTTATAGGTTTGCGAAAATGGCGTCATATTTTACATTTAATAATATCTATTAGTCAAATTTAACATGACGATAAGTTCTGATTACCGTCGTTATAGATGGTATTTCAAAATTGCTACGTTTATGTCGTTTGTTTAACTATCGACACTTTCAGTAACATTAAATCAGGTTATTTTTTTTATTTTTTACTAACGCGTTATTTAAAAATTTCCTGGTTTACAGGTGTAACGGGGTGGTTTTAAGTCAGTAAGAGTCTGATTCATCTCGCTACACTCAGGACAGGAGAAGAAAATTGATTGATGCCCTCAAAAATAAAACTCTTCAAAAGCCTAAATTACTCACGTGTATATATTGAGAAAAGCTCTACTAGTTTCGAACCACAGAGGGGTTCTTCCTCATGAGCAGCGTGCGCGGACGCGGCGACGTCGCGCAGCCTACTGAGTAGGCTTTTTTAGTTAATTTAGTATGTCTCACGATAGTTATTATAAAAACTTATTACTATTCAAGAACAATAAAATAGTAGGTTTAACCAAGAATATTGAACCAAACTTGGTTGGTTGACGGAAATTGCTCTATAATGTACATGTCAATACAATTGTAAATCAGTGAAGACCACTTAGTAAAGGTTAGAGTTAGAGAAATATAAAAATAGTTGCAAATCTTACCAACATTGGTAAGGTAGAGCAGAAACAGTGGCATCCCGAGCAGTGCGTACAGGATGGTGACCACCTTCCCCCAGTCAGTCTTCGGAGACAGGTGCCCATACCCTAAGGAACAAATCAGAAATTGGTAAGGTTTCACTTTAACTTTTGCTTTAACTAATAATATAAAATTGCTATTCGTACCGATAGTAGTGATGACAGTAAGTGAATACAAGAATGCTGAAGAGAAACTCCACTGCCTTGAGGATCTCCCGCCGTCCCAGCCCTTGTGGACAGCCATCACTATCTTAGTCTGATAGTTGCGCAACTCTCTACCAATCCTGTACAATAAATACGAACCTAATGGCAGAAATCATAATCATAATAATTATTATACAGATGTCTCCTAGCCCAACTTATCAATTTTTACCACATTTCGCAATAGTCCTGCCTGCATCAACCAGTGGTTGTCCTAGGGTGCACTCCTATTGTGCATTCAAGAAAAACTGGCGACTGATCCATTGCACTATTTTAATTTACAAGTGTGAGCACATGTAAATTAAATTAAAATTGTGCAATTGACCTTTGCGATTTCGCTTCGGCCTCTCGTTTAAGAAAAGGTTATGCAGTAATTTATTATCTTTAATTCTTTGTAAAAAAGTGTCTTTAATGGTTTGATTGAAATAAATTATTTGACTACGTATTTTTATTTTCAAAGCCTCAAAGGAAAGCGTCAACGTTTCTGCTTTAAAACTGTATCGCCATTGACGGAATTCGAGGAAAATCTGGGCTCAAATACAAAAGTCAGATTAATAAGTCCTTAAAGAAAATATATATATTCGATTTATTCTTCTCATTGTCATTCAAGCATTAATGTAAAATCGACCTATGGGTGTTTATTTGTTAGTGTATCACGCCAGGTGAGTAAACCCACCTTTCCTTGACCGCAGTCTCGTTGAAGAGGTTTAGGTCCAGGGTGACGTTCTGCCACAGGTACTCCGTGAGGTTGGTGCGCTCTCGTGACATCTGCTTATCCACCTTCCACTCACTACCACCTTCTATCGCTTGAAACATGAATGCACCTGAGAACAGAGACATTATAATCATCAATTGTGCCCTCCTCCTCATTTAGGGAGAATTGTCTAGCCCTAAGTTTAACTTAAGGATAATTTGGACAACAGTAGAAAAGAAAAAAATGTGGCCAGATTTAAGTTTGCCACTATCCCATTTAAATATTTAATAAAAGTCACTTGAAGAGAAGGAATGCATTATAACAATAATTCTTCTACGTGCAAGAAGATTCATTGCCAACTTGATTCAAAAATAAGCTCTTCAATGCATCTGCTGCAGTAAAATGCGAGCTCCTAACATTCTACACAGTTTTAAAATTACAATTTAACGTTTGTTGCTGTGAATCGGTTAAATTTTTATTCCCAGCAGTGAGCTCACTAGCCAGCGGCTGATCATTTATCATTTTGAAACTATAGAACAAAGAGAATAATATGGAAGTCTGCGGTAACGACTAGATATTATTGCTTCGATAAATCAAAATCATAATGGCACTGTTTGGAGTTTGCTTAGTGAGTTGCTCGATGATATCGGCTCTAAAAGGCCTTAATCAAGCTTAGTCTGAGTACTGAATGATATTTGTCTGAAGAACTTTTATATATGTTTTTAATCTTGACAAACCATAACCTGCTTATATCTACTTACTAGTAGATGCAACATACTCAGAACAATGGGTGCCTAAACTAGCCATGTAACTCCTTCTACAAAGCGTCCATGCTGGCAAAGATGGAGCTACATGAGGGAACTAAATTCACGTCCCAACCGTTGATGGAGACACTCAGGGCGTGATGGACCTTGCGCTGATCTCCGGCCAGGCCGGTCTGCGGACCAGAACAACAAACAGACAACCAAAACCAGACCCGAGGTAAGAGCCATCTGACTACCACCAGATAACACCCACTATTGCCGATCCAAAAGGGGTTAAGGGCACAAGGACAATAATATATCGTAGGCCCGGCCCTGAGCAGGAGAAGGGTTGGGTTGGTTTTTAGTCAGTAAGCATGTAACACACTCAAACCACCCATGGCGGGAGAAGTAATTTGATCATTTTCCCCCTTTAAGAAAAAAGCCCATGAATACAAAAATAAACTAATCAAATAGTTAAACTCAACGACCTCTTCAAAATTCCTAAACCCTTGATTTTCCTTTGATGATCATCACAAAGACATGTAAAGACTGTCATACAAAACATAATTATGATTTTAATTGAAAACGTCTTGGTTTTTTAGAAGATCAGTTTGTCATGGCTCTTACATCACTTTTATCTCATGCCAAACATTGCCTTATTATCAATTTATCATGAGGCCGAGCCACGAAGACAGATTCCTTTTAATTTACCGAGGACGACGGCCGAACATAAATTACGAAGCATCATAATGTCGTCAAGAAAAACACGAATTTAATTTTGAAGACTTTCTTTGAAGAGTTAGGGCGTGTGCACAGTGTCAGGAATGAATGGATTGATCGCGTACTGAAGCATCGTTCAATTGCTCTTACTGTTCGATAAGTCCTCCATTCTACGTATCTATTAAATAAAAATCTCACTGTTTCTTTTCTAATAAATATTAGTTCTACGTTGAGAATTGTATTACAAAAACATTTATTTTGTCTTGTTACTTTTGACCGATAGTGAAAGTTTTGGTACAGCTTAATTAATTTTCTACTACAAATCACTCAAACGGATATATTGTGCATTGTAAAACTAATTTTTGAATGCTACCAGACATGTACTAACAAGATATCACATCACTATGCCACCAACTCAAGACACAAAGCCTGAAATCATCATTTATAAAACAAAAAAACAACTTAATGGTTTTGTGGTCAAGAAATTAGAGAATAATTATAAAACGTTTCCAAGAATCCCGACTCCGTTTACAGATTTAGACCGCTTTTGTCTGTATACTGGTATAATTAAGAACCTTTTCAGCGAAGGCTATTCGTACTAGGCGCATAGAACCTCCCTTTCAGTGGAGGGCTTTTGAATACGAAGGTAAATAGAAGGTATGATTAAATACCTAGCTGTTATTAAGTCTGTTCAATGGTATCTTGTACACAAAGGATCCATAAACCACATCGTTGTAAGAACAAACTAATTTAATATTAAGAATTTCATTTTAAGCATACTTCTCAGAACAAACTTAAGCTTTGGCAACTGATCTTGAAGCCGATACAGTAAAGTCGTTTTAAGCCAGATTGCGAGTCTTTGAAATTCCTACGCTCGTCGCGTATCCAATATTCTTTGGTGGTGTGCAGCGGCCTAATGCGATAACGCAGAGCACCGCAGTCTCCCGTTGTTCATCAAAATGACAAAGGAAATACCCGACAGAGATGTTGTAAAAGTTAAAAGTGCTCGGTGAAGTGTAAAGTTCAGGCTTTCAAGGCATCTAATGACGTGGCGCGACAACCATAATTCTATTATTGTGGAAGAATCGATATCCCTTTGATTTGGGAGTAAAGTGCGATAGCATCTGTGGAGCAGAGTAATTATTGACTGTGTAATCAATCGACTGTCCTGTCTCAATGTAGAAGTTTGAAGTTCTAATAAATTCGAATCGAAGCATTAATTATTTATACTTGTATAATATAAAGACATTTTTGAACTTTTAAACGCTTTTATGTTTTATATAAATCAGATACTTTATGGCTCGAAGTTTTCCAACACATATTGTTCATTGTTGTGTGTATTAAATGTGGGAGAGCCATGCTTCGGCACGAATGGATCGGCTCAACCGGAATGTTACCACAACCTCCCAGAAAATCAGCGTGAAATAACCACAGTGTTGTGTTTAACCGTGTGAGTGAGGTTACCGAAGCCCAATTCTTCCCCTCCCCCAATCCCTAAATCTCCAAATGCCTAATCCCCAAAAGGTCAGCAACGCACTCGTAACTTCTCTGTTGTTGCGGGTGTCGATGGGCGGCGCTGATTGTTTACCATCTGGTTATCAGGTACCGATTGCTTGCGTACATTGCGGTGCATGCACATATGTAGAATGTTCGTTATTACGTTGGTTCTAAGCTCTTCCAAAATATTCAGCACATTGAAGACTTCTCCTGAATAATTTCAATGTTCTCAAACTATATCAGTAGGCACACATTTACAACTTTTAACAAATTACTAATTGTTAAAGATGTTTTCAAGTAGAAATGTTCATATCTGAGCGAACCGAAACTTTAAGAAAGTTAAAAAAACTGAATTTAATTAGTCAAATACTTTAATAAAAAAACTCTAACTTCACAAGGTCATCCCTCAAAATCTGGTTGAAAACATTTTAGCGATTGCGTAAACAGTTTATTCAGTTGGAACAGAAACTTAATTTCGCAGTAAAGAATTAAAACTCCGACCTAACATTCAAATAAAAGTAAATTTAGTAATGGGATGCCGCAAGGCACCATAATCGGACCCATAACAAAAAGAGTGTAATAAAAATGTAACCACAATGCTATAACAACATCAGAAGTATGCCTAGCAAACCATAAAAAAAGCTTCCCCCGATTCATCATATTTTATGGCATTTGGCAACAATCGTGGTCGTACAATCGTTTGTGGGGAACCAAAAAGGTCGTCACTGAATTATCGATTGCCAAACACTTTCTAACAACTGTTGCGGTTTCGATTCCATTCAATGCCTTTGTTGCGGTTTCTATATAATATTTATGGAGTTCCGATTTTGAGTTGGATGACCTAAATGGCTACGGATTAACTATATCATCTAAACATTTGTTTTCTTAAATTATTTATTATGAACCTAACAGGCGAATATATATTTTAATGTTTTTTTAAAGTGATTGTTGATTGATGTATTTTTAATTTAAACACATCGTCACAACTTTTTTTTTGTATTTTGTGGAATAAATCTTTAATCTGACGAAAATAACTTTAACTTAAATAAACACGGAAGATATTTTGGTATAATTGCGATTCTCGATCCGCGCTAGAATGTACCTGAACAACTCAATCTGATTACTGCCTTTGACGTCCCCCGAGCAGATCCTTTGACTGCGACATTACGGCTTTGATTGCAACGTCAGTGCGACAGGAAATAGAATCGATGAAGTCAGCATACCTTTAAGATGTAGAAACTAAAGGGAAATTACTAGTAGACAGAACTATAGATACACATGTACATAGTACCGTCTTTTTATATAAGGAATCAAAAGTCTTCATAACTCGATCATATTAAAGCCATTAATTAGCCGTATTCGCAGAGATGAATCATCAAACGCGACCTCATTCTGTAGTCTCAACCTTTAATTAAAACTGGTGTTGACTCTCCAAAGGTCTGGAAATGGCTTTGTAAATTCATGGATTATTTAGAATCAAAAACCAAGTAATTGGCTCAAATAATTTGATTTGGATGACCAACTTTTACGCAAATGTTTGTAAAGGCTGAGTTTGGTGGTAGTATATTTTCTATGCAGTAATAATCCACTGCTTTTTTAAGTAATCAGATTTCAGCTAACAAATCTTGAACAGTGATAAATTAGGGTTACCAGGTTAAAAGTTATGGTTTGTTAAAATATTAAATAGCTTCATTAAGAAGACTGACCGGCAGGCTGTCATTTTTTATCTTTAAGCTTTGTTTGACGTTCAAAACTGCTTGTCAAAAGGGGCTAATTGGAAATTGACTTTTTTGACTGTAGCAGGATCACATTTGAAGAAAGAGAGGCACGTGTCCCGAAGTCCCAAAAGTCAACAGAAGTGGATCGTGGTGATTATGATCGTTTGTACCCGATACTTACTCCGTTGCTTATTTATAAGCATAGTTAAACATGAAAGCATAGGTATTGTAATATAATGTTTTTAACATTCTTACCAGCAATCGTATAAGCAACCACCAGCACGATGACGCCAACATTGCTAAAGAGGAAGGCGAGTAGACCGCGCACGTAGTCGCGGATGCGTGACGCGAGCCTGCGCTTGCGCCGGGGCATCATTCACCGCGCATCGTGAGGCCCCGCCCCCTCGCCTCGCACCAGCTCATTGGTCCGGCTTTATGTCATCTGAAGTTGGTCTGTGAATAAAAGAAAATTATCGTTATCTAGAGAAATGTCAACTATTTTGCTGAAACATGAAAACGTTGACTTTCGATGGAAGGTGTTACATAGAACGATTGGATTCCAAACTTTACTATATTGTGTCATGTCATTATTATAATGGTACCTACTCATAACCAAGAACCTACTCACGGCACACCAAAAACATAACTGTAAAACAGAACCAACTGACAAAGGTAGCACGGTTGACGCAGTGGCTGGGGATTTCCAAACGGAACAACTCTTTGCTTGATCCACAATTTGTTGTTTCAGGTCTGGTTGTGATGTATATGTGCTATTGTATTAAACGCACAGAAGACAGAAGAAAATCCTGATAAATAGTGTGGGGCAGCGTTTTATGTACTTAGAAAAAATTAAATAAAAAAAATTCACTTCGCTGCTATAAACAGGAAACTGCAACAATTTGATTTAGCGCTATCAATTTCAGCTCGATACGGTAACGTATCTTAGTTCCCTAATCCCCGATGTATCGTCGAAGTCTTGTTGGAGTAGCTGCACGTAGACCCCGACCGCAAGTCCTTCAAACTGCTGGATGCGCCGCAAACTTGCGAACATGACCGCACTGCATGATACAATCACACTAAATTAAGTTTCCCTGTTCCAAACACCACGTATGGCTGAGCTCCCTTGGGTGAAGAACTGTCTTGATTGTGTTAATCTGAGAACTTATAAATGTAACAGTATATACTTAGGTACATAGACATGTAAATTTTATTAATGTAAGAACGTAGGTTCTTTCATTTAAGATTTAAGTGAACAATGTTTTCACTTGTTTTAGCTATCTATAGGTTGATTTTAGGCGTTACTACCTTAAGCGTTCCGAATTTGAATTTGCACTTTTAGAATCTACTATTTACAAATCGTCTAATTTTTTGTTTTACGAAATTATTAAAATTACAAGGTGCCAGAGACATGCAGAAAGTTTATATTCTTTTTTGCCCCACGACAGGATTTTCTTTTGTGTCTTGACAAACATGCGATGTCACATGCACAATCCACCCAGACTCAAAACAACAATTTATGAATCACACAAAGTATTATTCCGTGCAGGAATCGAAGCCAGTTAGTTACCCAGCTAATGTGTCAACCATGCAGATTTAATAACTATATCTTAGTTATTTAGTCTCAGTCACAATAACTAACATCCGAAATCCATAAATAAGCCTCATAAGAATTAATTAATATGGCAGTATTTAATGGCTTTCATTTGCAATACCAAACAATAATATAAATGATTATTAACAGCATAATTTCCCCTCGGGGAGCCACAACATAGCTTCGGCAATAGTTTCAAACTCCACTACAGTGTAACACCGACCAACAAGTGGGCCGTTTGCTCGTTTGCCATCTCAATTATACACACAAACCAACAGATTGAATTTAATCAGATAATGAATATCTTCTCCAATAAAGGCACTGATCAATCCCGCACAGATTTCTCAGTACCTATCTATACATTCTGGCAGAGATATTGTAGTGAACAAGTGTTAACATTGTTTTACCATTAAAAGAACTGTCGGAAAACGAACTACTACAAACTCTTGAAGAAGTTCGCATTAGTCTGAATTCTTCAATCATTTATATCTTTCTACGCGTGACATAGGAGTTATGCCACTTCAATATCATATTCAGTAACAAATTACTGTGGGTTTGTAGTGTCCACATCACTATACTTAATCAAAGAAACAGTTCTAGTTACTGTTTTAGTTTGGGTTCTATGTGGTTTTCGAAGTTGTACCCAACGTGTATTTGAACTTACTGAAGCTTATACTTCGAAACAAATAGACCGGTTCAACCGGAGTGACACTACGGCCTCTCAAAAAACGCCGAGTTAGTGAGGCTACTTATAGCGCAATGCTTCCCCCATTCTTCCATCTACAAAGTCGCTTTTTGAAATTCCTTAGAACCCCCAAAAGGTCGAAAATTTAATTGTAATTCCTCTGATGTGGCGGGATTGCTCATCATCAGGTGATCAACCTGCTTGTCTGCCAGCCATAGAGGATATATCGTCATTTCTGCCAGCCTAATCCATAAAAAAGCCTCGCTTGAGGCTCGTGACTGTAGCCGTGAATTTTGTCTTAATGCAGTACTTATTCATATTATTATTTATACTTTAAATAAACTTGCAAAACGTCTATGACCAGCACATCATGGCACAGGAAGCTCACAAATCAATGTGACTACCAGCGACTGGTGACTGCTCGCAAATCAACCAGTTATTATAAAAGGATATATAAATATGTCAGTTTTGCTCTAACAGTATATTTTCATATCGCGTGTTGACATTTGTTTCCGAGCTAATCTCGGAATTATAAACTGTATCAGCTGTACATCAAATAAATCATTGCAGTTGTGTGGAGTATAAATATTGTAGTATTGGTCGTTATTGCTTTTATTTTAATCGTATATCAACTCGGATAGGCAAACAATTGCTAACATTATGTGTGTGTGAAATTGGACACAATACTTACATTCATCTGTCGACCGATACATGATCTAAATTTTACATATCGCCACATATGTATTTAAAACGTGTACCTGCATATAGGTAGGACACGTATCTGGACCTTTTAAGTCAGTAAATACTTAAAAAGTTTTATAATAAACTTCTTACCACACCATTGACAAACTATCTCTATGGTCATGTGTAGCTTATGTCCATAAGCTACAAGCTATAAGAAACGAAATAGATGAATGTTATAACTAAATAGATGAGTGTAACATTTAACACACTTTTAATAATTTTTGGGAAGGACAGCTCAATTATTAAAGTAGAGGTCATTTTTTCGCTCTTTAAAATTTAAAGAAAACTCAACCGTACATCCTACGTTCGGAGAACAAAGATTCAAGAAATTGAACTATGAAAAATAACGTCTTAGAACTAAGAAGCCATTTAATTCAATAAATTTAAGTCATTCACTAGAACAGGTGCAGATACAAACGTGAAGCTGGATCAATGTGTTTGTAGCTCGACGCACAGACAAACAAACAAACATAAAGCAATACCTCAGTACGACATACCCTCGTCTTTATACTAAATACCCGAGTCCCATCTATTTAGCATTAATTATTTAGTCTGGCAACACAAAGTCAATATGTTAACCGAATACAAACTGCGGCTTGAATGGGAAACCTCGACTTGGATGTAGATGTAGGGATGGGAATATCGATATTCTGATTACTATCGATATTATTACGGTGATATTGGGTACTCGCGCTTATGTTAATGCCAATATTGTGCTTGTAATAATATTAGTTTCACGGTAAAGTTGTTATAGAAAGCTTTCTAAGTTATTATTGTAAATCTAATTCAATTGTAATTTCCTAAAAAATCTGATTAGTTTATGCTTTAGTCCCCTTTTACGGACAGGTTAATAATAATAAATTTATTATTGTGTAAATAGGTACTCCATATAAATGTTTATTCTAATCAGTTCAAGTTTATTGAATGCCAGATTACTTTCAACTTTCATAAGTGTCAAAATATTATCGTGAGACATATCTACGCAAGTATGTGTTAAGCTTTTTTTTAATAGAAACTAGAGACCTAACAGATTTGTAATGTAAACTATACTCAATCTCCGGTTGACTTCTGACTTAAAGTAAATTCATCACTATTAGCCCTTGCTCATCATCTCATAACCACCAAATATGCAATTCGATAACTCTCCAATACACTTAATCCTCGGCTCTTGGCATCCTTCAGCTAGAAAGCAATCTACACTACGTTCCCCGAGACACGATCTCCACTCAAGAGCATGTCTTCCCCAACGGTCAATGGCTCTGTCAACTACAGATAAATTTCGCGAATAATATCGTAAATGATTTAATACCAATTGCAACCTCGATTCCTGTAGAGACACCTAATAAATAATAACTTGATCTCCGTCCCATTGAATGTGGAGTAAATATTTTACGTAAAGTAAATGAAGTGAACGAAAATGAATAACTGAGATGAACATCAAACCGCTGGCCGATGGTCACTGGCCACAATGACTACGCCAGTTCACTGTGACCGCAGATTTACAATTTAAAGCAGCCATTTTGAAAAATGGACGCTGTTTTATTCCAGCCTGTTAACTTATGCAACTTGTGATGACAAATTGCTAGCAAGCCGCGTGTTCCAGTATTCATATTGTCACGGAAGCAGTTGTGTTAAGTTGCCTTTTTAATTGCTATTTTTATACGTGACAGAGTGCAATGGGAGGGAAATAAATTCAAACTCGTTCATATCAAGAGTTTTATTTATTGGTTCTGTATGAAGTGTTGAATAGTGAGTAGTGTTCCATCAATTAATTAATGTATTCCTAATACAACCTGACGTCATATGACAAATACCACAACGAATATTATAGGTACATAGTTAAGTAATAAAAGTGTGATAGGGACAAGCTTCGGCACGAATGGGTCGGCTCAACCGGAGTGATACCACGGCCTCACAGAAATCCGGCGTGGAACAACCGTTGTGTTACGCCGTGTGAGTAAGGTTACTGGGGCCCAATTCTTCCCCTTCTTCAATTCCAAAATCTGGCGCCGCTGATTGCTTACCATCAGGTAATCTGTCTGCTCGTTTGCCGCCCTATCTCCAAACAAAAAAAGTATATAAAATATAAGAGACTTACTATAGATCCAGTTTTTAGACCATCCATATCTATCTAAAATCAAACGCCATCCTGCCTTCTATCCCGATGATTAACATATAGCATCCATCTACCAGTTCCCCACTCATACTTCACAAGCAAACGTGTTCGTGTCTCTGCTCCATAAACATTTATATTTTCATAAACACTAAACATTTACGACTGTTTCGACGACCAGTCCACGAATCGAAAATAACAATTTAAACAAACTCAGAGAAATAAACTCATGAATGCAATGTTTTATAGTCTTCAAATAGGTAGTAGATACCTATTTATTTTTATCGATATTTTTAAACAGCATCACTAGTCATTCATAA